GAGCACAAAAGGTGTAAGAAATTTAAAGGGGGAGGGTGGTTTACAAAAAGACACAGGTGAAGATGCAATTTTTTTTATTTTTTTTAAGGGAGGAGGTGGGGGGCGGCAAAATGCATCTTTGCCTGTGTAGCTAAAAATCCTTGCACTGGCCCTGATAATACATACAAGATTGAGTGCATATACACACACGCATACATATACAAAACATACTTCATAATAAATAATAAAAAAGGGCTTGGTTTGGCTACAAAATAATCCACAGAAAACTTGAAGGGTTAAAGTAAAATGAAATGATTTAGCACTATCTGCACAGAAAGCCTCCTTTAACAGTAAACCACACAAACAGATATGGATGCGTTCACAAAAACACATTATGAGAAAAATGACGAAAATATAATTAGAACGCTGTAAGAGGAACATCTAATGAAGCATGAAGCATTTAGTCTAGAAACTACAGCATGCATGAGAAACACATATCAGCAAGGCACGTGTAACGATGGTAAATACATTTCTGGGAACAAACCATCATTAATGAAATCTTTCTAGATATGAAGATATATAAGCTATGAAAGCTTTCTAGATATCAAGATATATAAGGATTCCCATGTCACTCAAGCAGACAAGCAATGCAGTTTGGTATTTAGAGCTTTTAAGGAAAATGTTATGACAAACAGAGTGGGTAACAGAGTGAAATCAAAGCAAGTTGGCTGTGGGCCTCAAGGAGAAGTAAGTTCTGTGGGAAATAAGCACTGGTTAAAAGATGTGAAACTTGCAGTTTCATTTTTCTAAAAAAAGTAATGGGACTTTTTTTTCTGCTCTCTGCTAAATAGATGAACCACTTTCTAGAGCACTTAGTAAACCTAAGAGGTCTTTCCAGATAACTATATATATATACCATACACAAGATCCAGCGCACTCACCTATCCACTAAACAGCAACTTCAATGTTGAAAGATTTTATTAGTATTAAAAACTAATAAAATCTTTCAACATTGAAGTTGCTGTTTAGTGGATAGGTGAGTGCGCTGGATCTTGTGTATGGTATAATTTGGCCCCCAGCAGCACCCGCATTTATGCATGTTAAGGTGAGTGCAGCCAACCCCCTCTTGTTTTATATATATTTGGGAGTCTAGCCAACTCCTTGGTTTTGCACCCCTCCCTGTCACAGGTGCCTCATCCCAGGGCCCTATTTAGCCTTGTACTGCAGAGAGCCCCAGATGGAATTTTTTCCCCAAGTAGGTTAATCTCATAAGAGCAGACATTAGGCTGTTAGTGTAGGACCTGCCAAAGATGGGGTACATTGACGTTGTGGCAGGCTTATGCAATGTATGATCATATAATGTAACTAAACCCCCATTATTTTTGCCTAGATTAGGTGTTTTTAAAAAAACTAATAAAATCTTTCAACATTGAAGTTGCTGTTTAGTGGATAGGTGAGTGCGCTGGATCTTGTGTATGGTATAATTTGGCCCCCAGCAGCACCCCCATTTATGCATGTTAAGGTGAGTGCAGCCAACCCCCTCTTGTTTTATATATATTTGGGAGTCTAGCCAACTCCTTGGTTTTGCACCCCTCCCTGTCACAGGTGCCTCATCCCAGGGCCCTATTTAGCCTTGTACTGCAGAGAGCCCCAGATGGATTTTTTTCCCTCAAGTAAGTGGTTAATCTCATAAGAGCAGACATTAGGCTGTTAGTGTAGGACCTGCCAAAGATGGGGTACATTGACGTTGTGGCAGGCTTATGCAATGTATGATCATATAATGTAACTAAACCCCCATTATTTTTGCCTAGATTAGGTGTTTTTAAAAAAAAATAATAAAATCTTTCAACATTGAAGTTGCTGTTTAGTGGATAGGTGAGTGCGCTGGATCTTGTGTATTGTATTATTTGGCCCCCAGCAGCACCCCCATTTATGCATGTTAAGGTGAGTGCAGCCAACCCCCTCTTGTTTATATATATATATATATATATATATATATATATATATATATATATATATATTTGTGTTAAGGGCTCATGATAGTACAGAAGATACAAACATTGATAAGTATGGGATAGTGTGAAAGAGCAAGTCGGTTGTGGTGTGCCGGAACCGACGATGAGGTAGGCCTGTAAATAAAGAGGGCCCACCAAGAAGAAATGTATGAGAAAAGGAGTTAATGAAAGAGGAGTGGGTGGGAGGGTGATGCAGCGCTGACCTCGAACGGTATGGAGCCAGGTAAGGGGTGTCCCTTAAGTAGGGAGAAGGTGAGTCATACGCCCCTCCCACAATTACAGGCCAAAAGGCCTTAATACTTGTGTTAAGGGCTCATGATAGTACAGAAGATACAAACATTGATAAGTATGGGATAGTGTGAAAGAGCAAGTCGGTTGTGGTGTGCCGGAACCGACGATGAGGTAGGCCTGTAAATAAAGAGGGCAAAAGTAGAAAATATACTTTATTACGAAACGAGCAGTATACATACTTCAACCAGACATATCTTGAAAGGCATTTCTAACTTCTTGTACTGGGTTAGGTATGTATCTAGAGTATGCAGAAGACTTCCAGCGCCCTAGTGATTTGATAACATGTACTGGAATGTTTGCACTGGACGCTGTGGAGGCCGCCCCTATGCGGAAGGAGTGGCCCGAATAGTTAGCTGATTTTAGGCCTAGTTGTGTAAGTAGGGACCTGACGTGGGTCATGAAGGTGGTGGTAGTGAGTACAGAACCTTGTAGACAGAAAAGTGGTTGAGATGGTGATGCTTTGAAATGCTGAGTATAAGTGTCCAGTAACGTGACGGGGCACCACACGTTGTGGGTAGGATAGTATCTAACCTCTACCGGGGGTGCGTGTTGATTGGTTTTGGAGTGATGCAGAGCTAAAATATAGTAATCCATGTGTTTCGTTAAGTGTGAATGAAGCAGAATGTGAGTGGACTGGGATGTGTTGATGGCGGTAAATTCTCTTGGTCTCAAGAAACCATAAAAAGCTACGTATATGGCGGTTTTTATAACAAGGTTTGTGTTGTTCGCAAAGGGTTTTGAATCTAGTAGGCTGGATAAATCCTTGAAGATATTGAAGTCTATAGGTAGCCTTTGCGCGGTACGTGGGGGTTCGGATCTCTGGATACCTCTAAGGATGTTTTTGATCTGGTAGGAGGACATGAAACTTGTGTTGTTTGGTTGTAATGTTAGCATGTGATGTTGTATGCCTGTCAGATATAGCTTGATTGTGTTGTGAGATAATTTAAGTTTGAGGTGGCAAAAAGAAGCAAAACCTAACAAAGATGTCATGATGAAAGGTTGTGTGACGTTGTGCAGTGACAGGAATCTTTTAAATAGAAGGAAAGCCCTGTCATATGTTCTCCGGGTATTGGTGGACAGTGCTAATTGTGCCAATGTCCTGCTATGTTGCATAATAGCTTCTAGTCCATGACTAGCTGGTGGAAAGGTGGAGTGGTCGTGGCTGTACGTGCGGCTGACGGAAGTATTTGCCGAAAAGCCTGAAAATTGAAACGAGACAAATTGTCAGCAGCCGTGTTACAAACACCTGGGACATGGACACATAACAAGAAGAAATTGTGGCATGCAGCTAGCCAGGTGAGTTTCCTCAAGAACCTCATAATGGTCAGTGACTTGGATCGGCCTTTGTTTATGATGTGGCAGGTAGCTTGGTTGTCTGAGTGGCAACGTACTGACGAACCTGCCCATAGATGCCCCCATGTAACGGCAGCTGCTACTATGGGATACATCTCAAATAGAGCTGAGGTAGTGGAAAACCCTTCCAGGTCCTGTACCTCTGGAGGCCAGCTACCCCAAAGCCATTCATTCCCGTAAATTGCTGCAAAACCTGTGGTAGACGCCGCGTCTGACCAGATGGTAGGTGAGGAGTCAGACAATTCAGGGAGAAACATGCTTTTCCCATTCCAGGTGGTCAAAAAGTTTCTCCACATAAGTAGGTCTGCCGTGGCTTGGGTATCCAGTGGTAACCTGTGTGCATCATGTCTAAACAGTGGGAACATGGTTAGGAGCCGTGAGATGAAAGCCCGGCCTTGAGGTATTATGCGCATGGCAAAGTTCAGTGACCCAAGTAGAGACTGTAATTCTTTGCGATTGCAAGTACTGAGGTGTATGTAGAGGTTAATGTTGGTGAGAATGTTCTCTATCTTGGTGCGTGGCAGGCTGGCTTGCATGGTGGCTGAGTCTAGCATGATTCCCAGAAAGGTGATGACTGTATCTGGTCCTTCAGTTTTGGTGGGGGAGACTGGAACACCCACCTGTTTAAAAAGACTGATGGTTGCTATGAGGCTACTGGGAGGGGAAGTGTTCTCTTCGATCAGTAAGAAATCATCCAGGTAGTGTATAACTGTAGGGCATCTGGCTACATTTAATAATAACCAGCATAATGTTTCGGCGAATACGTCGAAAATGGCCGGACTACTTTTGAACCAAACGTTAGGCGTGAGAAAAAGTAGTAGTGCCCGGTCCACTTAATGCCATGTAGGTGCCATAGTGTAGGGTGGATAGGCAATAATTTGAAGGCATTTGTAATGTCAGTCTTGCTGAGCCATGCTCCGACCCCTGCCTGCATGATAGCTGTAATGGCGTGATCTATGGTGGAGTATTGAAGTGAAAATTCCTCAGAGGGGATAAGGGAGTTCAGACTAGGTGAGGCAGAGGTGTGAGGTGCAGACAGATCGATGATAAGTCTTTGTTTGTGGGAAGATTTCCCTGTGACAATACCGATGGGGTTTGTCCGCCATGTGGAAAAAGGAGGGGACTGAAAGGGTCCCAATAGGAAGCCCTCTGCCACTTCTTTGGCTATGAGTGTGCTAACCGCTGTAGGGTTTTGTTGTGCAGATTGTAAATTAGGACATTCAAGGATTCCTGAAGGCATGTGTATGAGACCAGTATGGAATCCTTGTGATAGACCAGTGATGATGAAGTCTACCAAATGTCTGGATGGATGTCGTGACAGTAATGCCGTGAGTACAGAAATATTTATCTCGGTTAAGTATTGCTTAGGGTACATTTTATTTGGACACATGGTTTTCGCATGTGCCCTAAAACATTTTGAACATATATGCAATAACCGACAACCGCTGTAATTACATGCACCGACATTGAAATTATTACATATTTGGGACTTCCCCAAAAACTTGATAGGTCGACCCAGTTTGTCTTTGGGTGTTCTCTCTGCTGACACAGCGGAGCTAGTGCCCTGCGAGGTGGTAGGTTCGTTCGCAGTGGTCGGACAAAAATTGGCAGTATGAGCCATGGAGGAGCAGTGTGCACAGGCCGGTGCTCTTAGACCTGCAAAGTGCCTGCAAAAAATGATCGTATCAATCTTACTCCAGTTGGACCTTGTCCCGTACTGTGAGAAGGCGCCAGACACTTTGGCAGAAAAGGATCTATGGTAGTCATAGAAAGCTGACCCACCATATTTGTTGCCCAGATCAACCAGCCTGTGCATATATAAGTCAAACTCCTCACGTCTGTGGGGATATACCGTACAGACCACATCCCGATAAATGCCAAAAGCTAATACAAATTCTGGAATGGTTAGCTTCCTATTTAATCGTGCATCCCTGGATTTGACTACCACAGAAATATCGTCATAAGCGTAGGTCTTATGTTCCACTATATCCTGGGAGGCAATTAGTAGTGAGGCCAGATTGACATCTTTACCTTCCAGGATATCTCTCCTGAGGTGCTCAGGAATCATGTGGGCAGGGTAAACTTCTTGGTCATCCGAGGTGATAGCTGGAGAAACTGATTGCAACTCCACCACTGATGGGGGAATTGCCGTGGCCGGTCCAGCCATAGTGAGGGCTGTAGTGACCGATTCAAGTTTCTCCAGCCTAGAATTGACCTTGCTCATGGATGTCATGAGGGACGTGAGCATTTCATGTATGTTCCCTGGGTGGGACTGGCTCGACCCTTCCCCAGCGTCCGTGTTATCGGTTGAGGTGTGTAATAATCTGTAAAGTTCCGCTTTCCTTGCTGTTGCTGGAAAAGGGATTTGTCGTCTCCTGAGTTCGC